TCCTGCTGGGATCTGTTCTAGAAACATAAGAAATGGTAAATATGATGCACAGTGTCCCATTACAAGAAAGTTCAAAAACTGGGGAAAAAACCTTATTTCTAACTGAAAGGAACTCTTAAGTTTAGAGTGTAGGAGAACTTACACATGGTGTTTGGACAGGAGTTGACTGCCTTGCTTTACAAAAGCACTGCAACTGGGCTTGTAGCCAAATTTCCTTCTATGCACACTATCTACCTGCAGAAGACCTTTGTTGCTGAACTAGGTCAGCTATCCAGTGTCCCTGGTGAAGAAAAACTCATACACCTGGTAGTTTGAAGATCACTTGTGAACAAATCACAGCACCTTGTGCCCTGGCTACATCTATCAAGCATCTGACACTAGCAATGCACGTCTAAAGGCAGAAATGCTTCAGTGCTTTCCTAAGACGCTCAATGTCCTCTACTGCAAGGAGAAATGGGATTTATAGGCTGGCAAATGCAGACTGAATTCAACGTTTGTATGAGAAAATGACCCAGCTTCCAGGTGCTCCTGGGAACTTCCACTTCATAACCACCAAGCTGCACAGTCTACTATGCGTTCTTCCAAATTATCCAGCTGCTGTATACACAATGACATTGAAGCAGGATGGAAAATTCTGATCAATTGCCAGACATTAAGTACAAGTAATGAATGACTTCTCATTTCAATTGCTGTCTCCACTCTTGACTCAAGCATAATTTCTCAGAGATCTTACAAATGTATCAATTCAAATTTCTCCTGAAACTCTTGGTGGGAGGCAGCACCTCCTGCTCCTTCTCCCTATTCAGGAGGCACATTAAAGGTTTGAATAGAAGCCACAGAAACCACCCCCAAAATCACTTTTAAATCCCATTGTAAAAAGCACAAAAGTTTTGCAAAACAGAAGTGATTACAAAATATTATCAAAGATTGTCCACCTTCAGCAGTACCACTTTTTTACTGCACACACACATACACAAACATAAACACTTTCCAGTCATTTTGCTGACCTAGTTCTTCATGCTTATGCAGTGTAGGAATATATGTCTTGGCACATAATAGCCTACGATCTTTTTAGTGGAAACCAGAGACGATAATTTCCAGCCCCAACTATTAAATTCAGCAAAATGGCATACTGTAAAAATAAAATTCTTTGGAAAAAAAAAGCTTGCGGTCTTAGGCCAGCTCCACCATATTAACCACTGTCATAAGTGCAAGACAATTATTTAAAGCAAGAAGTCTCATATTCATCAATAGACTGTAATTTTAAATTTGATACTGTAAGTGTATCATTATCTTACTGGTGTCCCACGATCTCCTGGCTTCCCTGGTTTTCCACTTGGGCCAGCAACTCCTGGAACTCCTGGGGCACCCTAGAGCAGAAGACATGTAAAGTGAATTATGGAAATCTGCAATGGCCTAAGTGCTAATAAGAAAAGTGTTATTGTATTGAGTACAAAGCAATACTGAAAATGGCTCCTATCAGGTTGTTTTTCTGTTAGGTACATATCAGGCTACAAAACTTTCTTCTGAAAAAAATAGTTTGTTTGTTCATGGCAATGTGTCCTTTTACACAACGCCACAGTTTAACAGTCAAAAGATGAAGAAAGAGTCTATATGTTTTTGATACTGCTCTTAATGACAGATTCCTGAAGGACTACAAGACAGTTTGGCCTTCTAACTTCATTTAGCAGGTCAGTGATCCATGTAAAAGTCCACAACAAGAAGTCCACAAAAGTAATTCTAGTGATACTATATAAATATGAGCAAATAAAAGACCTGTGTTAGGTTGTGTGATAAAAGCTCATCTGCACACCCATAAAGAAGCACAAGACAGACAATATTGGGGGAGTGGGGGCAGCCCAAATAATACCTTGCCCTAATGACTCCTATCCATATAAATACACGCGGTGTAAATGTGTGCTCTGTGTGCATACATCTTCCACCTTGCTACAGGTTGCACCTGGTCACATCGAGCTGCAGCAATTTGCCTATCTTAGGCTGTATGATACAGCATTTCTAACAGAGTCCCACAAAACACAACAAAGGAGCTTCTTAAGCAAGAATTAATCCTCAAATACTCTTGTCAGGAAAAAACTTGTATTAACAGTGGGGTTTTTTCAGCAGACTACAAGTATTAAGCTGATTGGTTTCAGCAGACCTACCTATGCATTTAAAGATCATGGCTAAAGAACCAGGTAAACTGTTTCTTCCCCTATTTACACTGGCAGTAATCAGTTTCAGAACCACTCTTACGAATGTTTGTGAACACATGCTTTACACAGCTGTCTGCTCACCTTTTACTGAGAGTTTCCCAGATCCATTTAGGATATTAAACAAAGGATCCATTTCATATTTGACAGAAACTGAAAATGCCAGTGTGGGTCTCTCTTGGCTCAGGTCTCTCAGAGTATATCAAAGACAAAATCATATTTACCGCTGGTCCTGGTGGGCCTCTGGGACCTGTGGGACCATCTTTTCCTGTGAAACCCTATTCAAAAACAAAAGCATGATTAGAGAGTAACTTAAAATCATAGCTTGATAAAAATGGCCTTTAAGGTTATGTAATTGGAATACTCCTGATTACTAGTAGCATGTATTTTAAAAACTATCCACAATGTAAGTTACAAAAATCTCCGTCAGGACTAATGCTGGAGAAGGCTATGGAATAATAAGCTTCAGTCAATGTAGAAGATGTTAGACAACTATTGATTAACTGAAGATTGAATGAATCTCTCTCAATACTTTTAAGAAAAGGAATTGTTGTTCTATCCCAGAGGAGCAAAATCTCCCTTTTCGCTGTTCTCTCACTCACGGATTAGCTGGAAAATCTGAGGTTTCTACTTAAATGAAGAACGGTCTCCCTCCCAGACACTTACCCCACAAGAAGAGATGCTGAGAAATCCCATTTCGATAACCGAACATAGCACTCACAAATTAACATTGATGGTCCATGGCCCACTAATGACCCACCAATCCAATGCTTTCTTTGGCAACTGGCTATCACATGGTAGGCTGTTTTCATTTCCAGCTATCAACTCCCACTAAAGGATAACTATAAACACATATGTCAGCTATTAATTTTGACTGAAAAGTTAAGTCATTGCTTCAGTCATCTCAAAAGTGATATGGCACTTTGAAGACAAAAGAGATTTGCTCAGTTGACCCCAAATTAGAAGAAAGGGATTGCAACAACTCCACAATGTGTGCATGCCCTTCGTTATGAAGACATTTCAGAATTCCCCATCCAAACAAAAGTTCTTAGCTCCAGGTAGTCAAAGATTAAGGAGCAACCTTGACCTTCACAGTAAGAATAGCACGGACAGATTCTTTACAGATAGGACACCTCCCAGACATTGAGACAAGCAGAGTTTCAAAGGGATCCCCTGCAGCAGCAACAGTGTGTGGAAGAGAGCAGGGCTGAGTACCTCAGCAGAGCCCTGTTCAGCAGACATACTGCTCTAAGGGTGCAGGCATCTGAGAACCTAGTCAGAAAAGCGAGCAGTGCAATTTTCACAGAATTTATCTGGCTCCCCTATGGCTCTCTGGGGAGGTTTTCACCCCTAAGCTTTTCCAGTCCTTCCACTTTTACTTCTCCAGGTTGGATACTGATATAATTACTCCTTTTGAAAAAAAAAAACCAAACCAAACACATTTGAAAATAGAAAGATATGAAAAAGAAGGGAGAAAAAAACTTCCCCACGTTACTTGGTCTTTTCAGAAGATAAACTGAGGAAACCTTACCCTTTCTCCTGGAGGTCCCACTGGGCCAGGTGGACCAGGTAAACCCGGGGTTCCCTAGAGGCAAAAGGAATGATACACTATATCCATGACAGAACAAACATCACTGTTATTCATCCCAGCACAAATTTAAATATTTAACTGTCTCCAGTGTGGCTTTTTGGCACTTACAAAAATAAAACAAACCTTTAGGAGAATGCATTTATTTCATATACACAATACAAGAGTCCTCATCCTTACTCTACTTCCATCTCCTTACCAGCCCATAATTCAACTTCAGAAATAATTTTCAGTAGTTACCATAAAACAGATATATCTGGTTTTTCCCTTTACAAGCATGATTTACAGATACCAGCTAATCTTTTAACACCTAGTGCTAAAGCCTAGCTAAAGTGATTGATCAGAGTGTATCTAAAGAAACCAAAATTAGACTCTTCCTTTATTTTTCTTTTCCCCTTTTGTCCTATTTTTTAACATTCTGCTGCTTTATTGTGCACATTGTAAATTCTCTCTTTCTGTTCCTTGTAGCCTCTGGGTAGAGAATAAACACCAAAATTAAACAGGCAGGCTACATTAGAGGATACTTAGGAATAATTTTATTCAATAGTCTATAGGATCAGTACTACTGCTGTAGGAACTGGATAATGAACAGCCTTCTATTATGTTGTCATGTTCTTCCCCCTTTTCTGTCTGATCTCACTGTACACTAAAAAGTAGCATTGCTTTCTACGGGACATTACTACTCCCTAAATGTGTATTACTCAGTTATAAGGACTAATAAAACAGGTAAAGAGCGTAAGGTCCTTGGTTCATGACTGACCTTATCTGATACATTAAACTAAATCCATAACATCATTTAAGCATCTCCCATATAGTCTTTATATCCCCAGTAAAATCAAGAACAATACAGTAACCAAGGAATATTAGTTATGTCACCACATGTATAAACCAATGACCTTAAATTAGCCAAATCTGGTTGATTATTCAAAAAAACCCTTATTTTTTCTCTTCAACAACTAATCTTAGTTTACAATACAGAAACCTGCAAGTAAGTGAAATTTAATATTGCTTTCTTCCTTCAGAAAGCATACAATTAATGTCCCAAGACCATTTGACTTTCAAAAGTAGAAAGAGGGGTTCAGCAAATGTTCTGCAACCTTTATTTTAGGACGACATTTAACTTCAGGTGGTTAGAAGTTGAGGGACCTTCCTGGGGAGTTATCAGTGTACTTTTCCTAATCCAGCGGTCTGTCCCTGTACATTCACAACTGTCCAGATGGACATTTGGCTTGACTTAGTACTGCTCTTCATTCACTCTTGCTGGTTTTAATGGTTTACTATTACCTACATTTCAAATTCCTACGTGTAAGATAATTATGTTTCCAAAACTATTGCTTAGGAAGGTATGAGAAGAGCCCATGACTCCCAGTGATGTCCAAGACAGCTGTCCAGCAGCCAACCTACATCAAGAACAATGTAAAACAACATTATCTTGTTTAAGCGTTGACTTACCGATCTCCCTGGTAGTCCAGGCTGGCCAGCATCACCTTTCAATCCTTGACGACCCTATAATGTTCATAAATGATTGTTAGAGATTCTGAATTACAAAACAGATCAGCAAAATAATAAATCTGTGGAAAAGGACACAAAATATTTCCTGCAAGATACCTAAATTAAGGAATTCATAAGCCAACTATGAATTACGGATACATATACCTCTTAACTGAAGCAATTCACATCATCTCACAAATATTTGCAACTGCAGGTTGGCTGGTTGATATTACATTAAAAAAACGAGCAAGTAGACATTTGAACAGGGCCCATATTTTGATAAGGAAAAGACATGGACTTTTCAGTAAGAGAGGCTGATATCAATGTCTTCACAAGCAGGAAAGCAGGGAAGGTTTACATGTTTTCTCCTGACCTCCTTTATCTTTCTCAACTGGCGAATGGAGCTGTCTACACTCATGAAAGGTAAAGGCTCAGTCTTTTGAAAGTATCACTATTTTTCTCTAACCCATGGTCTGAAAGGCACTACATACTTCCAGGACACAAGGTGTAGGAGCATGTAAAGAAGCAATGTATTGCCTTTCACCATTAGCTTGCATTCCACATACAATACAGCACTGTAGTATAAATGCATAGTCTAAATCCACGAGCTAAATTTGACAATAAAATACTTCTTTTCCTCTGTGGCTTGCATGATAATCCAGCATTAATAACTGTTGATGACACACAAATAATTAAAAAGTTTGTAAACATAGTCTGTCAATGTGAATTGCAATTTATATGAAAAATGAAATTACATGACTCAAAAGTGGTGCTCTCACTTATTGTTAACTAATGAGAATTTCCATCAATGTTGGTATTTTCATTCTTCAGAGGTTTCCAAACTGAATGTGACAAATAAGTGTATTTATTGTATTCCACATGTAAAAGGAATGTGTTTGGCCTTTCTTGCTGTTTGGCACCTCTAGGTCATCTTGATGAAGTGTTTCCTCCTGGTATATAACAAAAAACTGAAAGGCATCTATGCTGGTTAACAAAACCTTTCTACTTTCTCCTTACAAAACAGAAGGTGTACCTTAATGTCTATCTCAAAGCACATTTTATTTCCCATTTCCCAAATTACATTACAGACTGAGAAGGTAACCTGGTTTCAAATGCAAAATGAGACAGCATGTAATCAGAGAACAATTCTATTCTTTTTCCCCCATAAACTTTGTATTTTAATCAAAGACTTCATAGAAAAACTTCCTAATTATATTAAAATTCAAGCTAATCCTAAACAGAAAACATCAAAATTATATTCCTCCTTTTGGGGTGATTATTTATTAAAATATGGCAAAAGCAGTCTTAATACATTCAGAATGTAGACAAAGGGTTACCTATGCTATCTGCTCTAAAAAACAGAATCTGGTGAAATTTCATCAGTGTTAATAAAGTTACTCTGGCTTCAAAGGCATGTACAGGAAATCAGAAGTAGCCTCTTGCGAAAATATGAATGCTGTTGCCAAGAAAGTCTCCTAGGAATGAAGGGCTGTTTTGTATGCCTAGATCTAGGCACCCATTACCTCTCTGAACTTTCAGCTACTGATTTACGCTCAGAAAATAGAAGTTGGATGTGTAAATTTGTAAGAAAGTCCTCAGAGTAATATTGCATGCTTAATTTTCCTGCACCACAGTTTGATAGTTTTAAGTCCTAGAACTCAAAGGCCTAGCAACTATACAGAAAAGCTGTAAGACTGAAAATGGAGTAGCACAACGCACGTTACAATGCTTAGACTCTGTCCCCACATAGGCATCCCGCAAGCACATGTAACATTCAGGACAGAAAATGTTATTGTATTGAAAGACACTTGTTTCAGAAAGAGACTGGTTTCATAATACTACTGCGTTGCAAGGAAAAATGAACGTTAGAGCAGAGCTGCCACCCTCTTCCCAAGACCACCATCCCCATGGACAGCTCTGACTCCATACACGTTGCCACCCACACTCAGAATGGCCACTCACCGGTTCACCTGGGATTGACAGCCCGTTGGGACCCTGCGGACCTGGGGGACCTTGAGGGCCAGGAGGACCTGTCTCACCACGAGGACCAGGTGGCCCCTTAAAGCAGAAAATTAAAAGAAGATTGTAAATGACAAACCCTTCTTAGATCTGTAACTGCAAAATCCTTTGTGTTAGACCCTCAAGGTAAGTCAGAAGCCTGGAGACACTTTTAATACTTCCGAGCAACTGTGGAAGCAGCTATTCAAGTGGCATTTCCTTTCAATAATCTATTCTCTGATTCATGTTGGTGGCCTCAGGCCAATACATGCCTTCTGGCAGTGTTAATTAGAAGTATAGCTGTCTTCTCTGCAGAGAAGAAAGAACAACAGTGCTGCACAGTGTGTATCAGTATCTACTCTAGTTTCCTAACGTGCAGTCAATGCCTTTCAGGCTACATATATATATAGGCTGTGTATATATAGTCTCAAATAGGTAGGCTGCACATAAATAACATATAGGCATATTTCCAAGCAGATTTTTAATCTCCATTCTTAGCAGCATAGAACTAAGCATACAAATTTTCATACAGGTAAGCATGCAGCAAGATTATAGATGCATTCCAGAAAGATACTTACAGATGATCCAGTCAAACCCCTTTCACCTCTGGGACCTTTAGCACCTGGGCCACCCTAAATTCAATATTTGGAAAGAAAATGTGTTTCACACAGGGAAAGCAAGGGTACATCATACTAGTGTGCATTATGAATCCTCTTTATCAAACTCTTATGTGAAAGCCCAAAGTTTTGAAGTGTATAGATCACATTACTAAAAAGAGTACAAGAATAAAAGATGCACCAGAAACTCGGGTAAACCACATCAGCTTCAGCTTTGCCCATTCAGCCCATGAAAAATTATTGTCATTTTCTTCAATTTATATTCATCAAAATCTCTAGGTAGCTCTCTAGTAGACTGCCAGACAACTTAACTGGCCTTCAGATTCCTCATGCAGCACTGTTGATAGCTTCAAAGTAGAAGGATCACTGGGCTGAGTATAACTCCCTTATATTCAAAGCAATTGGTAGGAGTATATCCATTCCATAGATTACTATCTCTCCACATAAAAAAAATAGGGTAACTAATTTATTTCCCTGACAGAGTAAAGAATCTTTCCTTGGAGTGAAATCTTGACTCTGTATTTAGGAAAAATATTTGCGGAGTCCATTAAAAATATCTTGTACATGAAGTACAAGGTAGCTGAGATCGGGCCAGACGCTTTCGACCTATCAAACAATGAGGAAAATTGCTATTGGAAATTTCACATTGGAAATATGAGGAAAAAAATACGGTGGTAGGAGCTGCCCAACTGTGTTTTAAACTAAGATGAAAGGGGAACAGATTATCATGGTGTTATGGACGTATTGATAGAAACTATCTCTCTGACCAACCTTTGTTTCACAAAACCACAGATCAACACAAAACTTCTATAAATTTAAAAATCAGAAAATCTGTCTCTTGTGAATAGTTCCTTACAGCTGGTCCAGGGGGTCCTGGAGGTCCCACGCTGTCTTGAGTACAGGTACAAGCATTTGGAAGAGCTGGGCATTTTGCTTCGTCTCTCTGAAAATTCAATCATCACAATTACTGTCCTTTTAAAGAAAAGTACATGGTGGCAGCATACTTTTCTAAAACAGTAACAGCAAGATTCTCTATTACCCTGTTTTCAGGTACAAGTAAAACTCACAGCTAAACAGTGGCTTCCAAATGTTTCTACAGGACCTTTCATATTTATAGCAAATTTTCTCTGCGAGCTATAAAAGACACTAACAACAGAGGCATAGGCAAAATCAAATTTGCATGCAATTTCTGTTGTTCTAATATTTGTATCCATTAGACAATCACCTTGCACTGACAAACAATAAACTAGTTACTTTTTGAAAGCCAATCTAAGAACAGATTAAATACAAAAATGATATAGCTACTCCATTCATAATGTCTAGGATCTTAAATATCACTGAAATAACTGAAATTTTTTTCACTATTCCTAAAGGACTCAATTCTAGCACATTACAATCTTTCTCTATCAGACACAAAACTTTGAAATGCAATGTTGTTCATTGGCTGCTCTGACAACTGTGATTCAGATGTGCTGTCAGTAAGAGGTATAATACCAGGCTAATATTGATATTGTCAAATTTGGTATTAATAACGATTTTCTGAATAGTCTCTGGTTCATTTATACTTACCATAGAAGGAAGATCACAGCATCTGTCTCTGCTAGTCCAAACCGGACTGCATACAATGTCAAAATTCTGGATTTCTAACTGTAAAACAAAGGAGGACTCTTGAAAGATATTAAAGATGGTATTTATGAAATCTAATGGCATTATCATTAAAAATGACTCCTCAAACAATTTATTTCTAATGTAGTTAACATCATTAAGACTTTCACTTCTTTTTTGACACTGACAGCAAAATGATTTCAAAATAATAAAAAATTTAAAACCAAGCCTATATAAGGCTACAAGAACTTCAAGCACTGGTGATTGCTCTTGTTCCAGGACAAAAGGTAACAAATTAAAGTGACTCAAGAAATATTTTTCAATACTTAATGAATAGTTCTGATGAACTTCTACATCAGCTAACTGCCTGTGCACTTCAACATGAAATCTGGCTGAAAACCTCTTGGACCAGCTCTAAGGACTGCAGTCCTTGGGTCAAATAGTAATTCAGATTCATGTATGGAACTTTCCACCGACATTAGCAGGGAAAAGGTTTGCAGAAAGGCTGAAGTGGGGACATTATGTAGACTGTAGGGTAAAAGCAGTTTCCTTTCTCTCTTTCACCCCAAGAGCTATGATGCTGTAGTTTAATACGTACAACCAGACGTGTGGTGGTGTGCACCAAGAATAATCTTCTGGTGTCAGGGTTTGTACACATGGGTCAGACTGCAGACTTAAATCTTCTAATATGAAGCCCAAGTAATAGCATTGGTTACATATTAAGTACAGCCACTCCATCAAGATAATTGATATGCCCTTCACAGTAGCAGTCACTTTTCCATTATAGGTTCTAGATCATAAAGCCGGTGGGGATTACTCTGATCACCCAGTACAAGACAGACCATAGGACTTTCCAGAATTAAAACCTGTTCATTAGAGAACGTGTTTTAGGAAAAAGAAACACTCTTCATTTAAAGATTTCCAATGATAGAGAACACATAGTAATTGGTTTCAACGACTAACTGCTCTCCCTACTAAAAGAAAAACACTTCCACTCTTGCTCGAATTTATCTGACTGCACCTTTCAGCTATTAGATTTTTGTTCTTCAATCCTGCTAGAATGAGAAGCTATGGAGACCATACCTCTCAGTTAAGTATATTGGGTCTTTCATTACAGACACGTGAAAGCTTTGGGTGTAATACTGGTTTTTTAGCATTCCTTAATCTCTAATCTTTTTCCTCAGAAAATTTCAAGGGCTTAATGACTGGATTAATGCTTATTGCTTACTGTTGCTGATCTCCGGTCACCTTTCAGAAGTTTCCCAAGTATTTCATAGCCATCAGTTGTGATGTTCCCAGCCTCCTTAACTGGTTTTTCCAGTATTTCACTGCAGTCAATGTAAATCTTAACATTTGATGAAGTTACAACAATATGGACCTGAAAAAAAGTTTAATGGAATATTTAGAAGAGGCATATAGGCATATTTATTTTAATATTTTAACAATATTTCACTGTTTAGGTAATATTGTTTTAAATTTTCTTCCTAGTAATCCTGCTTTACCTTCAACTGGTGGAAAAACTCAAATAATTGAGTTTCAAGGGAAGTCTATGACATTAGTAACCTCTAAAATGTGTTGAAAGTCTATAAGATAAATATACAAGCACAGCTAAGAAGTGCTGTTCAATGTAATAGTTGAACTACAATGATCTGTTTGAAAAAGCTCTCCTGAAAATTGCTTTAAAACGTCATAAACATAAAAAATAAAAAGAATTTTTAAGAGGAAGTGGATATAAGCTCTTCTTGTCCTCTTCTGATGGCCGGGACCACACAAGACGTTTATGAGTCTGTGACTGCCCACTGGCTAATAGACTCTGTCTGCAGTTCAGAGAGTAGATTGTTTCAGATCCAAAGATCCTGGGTTCAGTTTCCACAGATGACTCAACCAGAGGCATTAGTTGCATTGAGATACAGGAAGTGAGCAGAGAAGACTGCCCAGAAAAGGACAAAATAATGCAAGATGCAAGAGCGAAACTTCCATGAGAGAAATTTGGCTACAAAATCATATGTCAAAATAAGGAGAAACAGGGAAGAAGAGGAAGATATTAATTATCGGAAATAAGGGAATCTTAGGAGGGAGAAAAGAATGACTGTAACAAAGTGAGAGTATGTTTATCAGGATGAGAGAATGAAGTGTTCAGGAAAAACAGAGTAACCCTTAAATAGAAGAACCAACAAAATTGTAGGAAAGGTTAACTTTCCAAAAATGTATAGTACATATGGCGAATGTTACGCAAGTGAATTTCTCCATTTCTATGAAAACAGAAGACATTCAGGAGTCTCAAAGAAACAAAGGTCTGACATTTTAGTAAATCTCATATGCAGTTGATGGAAGAATATCTTAAGGCCACAGAAAGGTTTCAGTGGCTTTATATAACTTACATACTGCATTTTTTTTTTTATATGCAACATTATAACATCTATGTAATTGTCAAAATTTCAACACAGTAAGATCAGCAGTAAAGAATCCTTGAAGTATATATTTATGTTTATCACAGTACATAACGATTCAGAAACACATTGATATTTAATGACTGCTTAAAAAAAATTGGCACGAAATTGAAACAGAGATTCCCTTAAATGTCCTGAGTGCCTGAACAATCTCCTAAGAATGTGTTCTTTTTTTCCATATTGAATATTTTCCCATGTGGAGTTGTCTCCACATCAGCATACGTTATCTGAAACTCTTTAAACATTATATGCTTATGCTTTATATAATTGGGATTAAGACTTAATGAAACTGCCCCCATTTTTCATCAACTGAAATTCAGTTGGCATCACAGTTTAATTCTCAGTGCTGTGTATACAACCGTTTCTTTAATTAACATTCCTAACATGGTTCGTTGACCAAATTAAAAAAATAATGGCAAGATAACTGAATGTGTCCAAAGTATAGCTTGGTGCTCCGTACCACTTTCCACAAAATAAGATAAGCACCATGCCAAAACTTTAAAATCATTATCATTTATACATCATATACTCAGTCATTTGATTATATGACTAAAGTTTACAGGCTAACTAATGCATTAAACAGTTTAAACTCATCACAGATATAATTTACTAATTCTGAAAGGTATCTAACATGCAAGTTGTTCTACTGGAACATGAAGTACTTGTCACAATTTAAATAAATTAAATTAAATCTGCATAGCAAACACATATTACTGAATTTTCATTTGCACACAAAACTTAGGAGAAGTAATCTACCCCAGAATGGTGAATGAGACCATCAATTTAAAAATGTTCAAACAGCAATGACTGCTAAGCATCACCTATCCATCCAAAGAAGCTATTCCAGCAATCAAAAATAAGCAGAGCTCCCCCAAGTCATTGACACAGTCAGCTAACCGCTGACTTAACACCAGCTCTGAATTCCAGCCTGAATCTCACGGCCTGGGCATAAATCGAATCAAAGTAGACATCTAGGGTTTACAGTAAATAAAACATCTCTGTATTCAATCCTGCTACACTTTGTTTTAACAAAGATGTTAACAGAAACATTCTCTTCAGTTTCTAACACATCAACATAAAGCATCACTTCTGACCATTTCCAGTGTCAGAAGGCACTGGGGCTTTAAGAAAGCAAGCACACTTAGTCTTTCTCTCCCAACCCCTTCTAAGACAAAGTTTGATGGTGTTTTGATCTACTGCTAAATGAACCACATCAATAAGCTAAGGAAACTATTATCCCATATGTACATCAGCAGAAAGATATACAGTCATCAAATTTCCTGTGGCTAAATACTGCAAAACTGCAATCTAAAAGGAAGTCTAGCATAGTAAGGATAAGAAAGTAGAAGTCATCTGTCTCTCAAAAATATTCGGTTATAAATTTAATGACTGTCTCAGGCAGTCAGGATTTTTCCTGTAGGACTTGCCAGATTCAACAGCTTTCACCATAGCTATGCTACGCAAAGTATTCAAGTATGCCAAAGTAAATTTCCCTGCACAGTTCGGTGCAGTTAACTGTGCTTCACTGAATGAGCCAGTAAGTCATCGAATGAAAACCACAAAAATGTTTGATATTTGGGAAAACATCTTCCTGTATTCTAAAGATTTGTCATTTCCTTGATACTAGATGGTAGGAGAAATTGCAAAAGTACCTTCTGAAATGTGTTAATCTTACTTTCCTTCCTTCATCCAGCTGAAACTACTGCTATCCTTTATTAAGAGCTAGTCAACATAGCTGATACATAAGGCTTTCCCAGCACGTGAGCTGGGGAATCCCATGATGCTATCATTAACAACCTGACTCATACAGCAATCTCAGTAATCATCCTGGAGAGAATCCAGAAGAGTCTGCTGAGTTACATGGTGAAAAATCCCAAATACGGCTCTTTAAACCAAGGCTACTCCAATTTCTTTAAATACTATCAAAATCTGAACTTTTGACTACTTTCTGGGAAAAAAAAAAAAAAAAAAAGAAGGGGAATGACACACTGCACTAGATAACTGATACATTGTTTCTTAAGAAAGAGTCTCATAAGCAAGAATTCATAGTTCCAGAGCTTTAAGATAGTTGCAAATGGCTGTCACTCCTGTATGTTGTTTGGCATCTTAGGATCACTTAGGTTCACATGTATGAGTGTATTTAACTATTAAAATAACACAAAAGCCTGTATTTTTATTTCCCCTGTAATTGTTTTTCACCAGCAAGTGTAATAAACAGTTATACATAACGGCTAGTATTGCTGGGGTTGCAGGTTGTTCCCCATTTGCTCTGATATATGAGCAGAGCTTACTACTAGTGCTGTCAGATAATTCTGCTCAGCTCTATCACATTTAGAGGAACCACGAGGGAAAAAATTATGCTGAACATCAATGAAATTAGCAGATGACACTTAAAACAGTCTTCTGACAGTACAGCTTGTAGAGAGCTTTACACTGCTGACCTGAAGAAGGGAAGTCTCAGCTCTCACAGATATCTAAAATGAGGCTTGCTACATGCTGTTCTGTGTATTAACAGTACTTCTTGGTGACAAGATGACTCAGCTTTTACAACAAAATAATATCTATCCTAGCCTTTACTGACAGTTTTTCTCACTCCAGTAGATTAATACATTTCCTTAAAAATTCAGTTGTCCTACTAAGCTATCAAAAAAAAAAAAAAAAAAAAAAGGCAAAAAGCCAAATGCCAGGGACAAAACAGAGGCTGCCTAATGCAGGTGTGATCCAAGCCTATTCACAAATATCAGTTACAAAGTCAATGACATAAACATTTCTTCATATATGCGAAAATCATTAGCCACTAAATACATTATAAACCAAGAATAATTGGATATAATATAGCAGCAGTCTGGGAAATTATCCTCTGTCAAATTCTGAGAAAACCAATAGCTTTTATAGTACTGTATGATTTTCATAGTCATCTGTGCTTTAAAGAGATAAAGTCACAAAACATCATAGTGCTGGCACAAGCTATCTTTCCCTGCTTTCAGCCTAGCAGAGCTAGGTTGACAATGTGGCCTCCAGTATCAGCAAGTTGACAGAAGAAACCTCTTATCAGTATCCTCAAAGGAATACTGGTAGTGACTAGTCATGCAGAAGAGGGTATCATAAAGAAAACAAATGTTATACTCCAGCCATATTTAGTCATCAGAAGAAAATTAAACTAAACAGAAGGGAGATAAACAAAAACATGAGAATGTGCATTTCAGCTGGCCAAAAATGTTCCAACTGCAACTCACTTTCTTGCCCTGAATGTATATACTTAACACAGAATGAAAATATATTTTAAATTGTATTTTAGATATATATGTAGCCTGAGTCAAACAATTCCTGAAGACTAGAGGTAAGAAGACTGGTAGGATCAAGTTTTCATAATTCAGTGCACAAAATTTGAAAAGGAAGCACAAAACTGACAAAATGGAAGGCAGAGGCGGTAAAATGTAAGGATTTCACTAGCCATTTTGACAATTCAAAAAATGTGAGTTTCATTCTATATCACAAGTAGATTATACAATGTTTTATGGGCTTTCTCTCATTATTGTTTCTTCCTCAGTTAACGTTACTTTGGAATATGTTAGGCCCAGTGAATTTAAGCCAAAAATATACCAATACACATTCATACATACAAAATATATACATATACATGTATTATGTTGTTAAACATATGAATCTTATTCAACAGGCAATTCACGTCCCAAAATTGGTTCCCTGCCTTCATCTATAAGTCAACAGCTACTTACTTTCTGTGGCTGTATCTTCCTCTTCTCTGAATGATTTCAAATCATTACACTCCCCCCTCTAATCTTTTCTCAATGCAACTTCCTTGCCTTTTTTTTTTTTCAGTTTATCTTTTATTCTTTCTCTTTCATGTGCCAGGAATCAGGCCACAAGGTCTCGTTCAGATATATCCCTCCATTTACACAATCTTGACAAATTCTTGACAAATCTCTTACATTGGTTCAAAGAAGACCTATAACTTCAGAGATCTTGTTTTACATGATCTGTAGGTCCCTATGTCAACTTATAGTACTATACAAAGACCAGATATAACTGACAGTGACTTCTGCTCGCTTGTTTCAAAGAACAGCACTTCAGAAAGCAACATTCATAATTTCAATCCTTTACCTTATGGAAGCTTCCATAAAAGATTTTCTTTACTTCATCATTATCAAAAGTTACAGTTTGAACTTCTCCCCTTGTATCCTTGTTAAAGAATGACAGCACTTTGCTGGCAGCTGCAATAAATGAAAATAATATATTTCATTTCATATATACTACTGAAACCACCATCCTAAGATACACTTATAAATAAAATGTAGCATACCACTCAATTGGGTAAACAGAGGTTACACATGGTCTTAAGTACATAGATGTATTTTCCTTTGGTTTTAGAGGTAATACCAAAGCTCAAAGGTAACTTAGATGATTTATTCTTAGTTGAAAAAAAACAATTGATGTACAAAGTGAAAAAAAAACCATCTCTTAAAACTAAAAGTATACAATCCTTTTACTATGTAGGAATGCTTTGGGTCTGGAAATATTTGGGAAGAACGCATACAAATATAAAGTATAAATTCTCTATGCAATAAGCATAATCATCCTTACGATCAAGCACAACTCCAACTTGTGGTTTGTAATCTCTGTCTGTAATCTGCCAAATTGCAAAAGGCTCATTGGGGGATTCAGGCAGGAGACGGAATAACAGAATGATAGTGTACGCCTGCGGCAAGCCCTCTGGGTGAATCTCCCTGTTAAGAGAATATGAAGACCTTTTTTCACATGGAAACACACGAGGAAAATGAGATTTTCATTATTTGCTTTTTTTCAAAGAAAAGACATGAGAGTGACAGGGAAACCACAATGTTTATTGGAACTGAGCATTTTAACTACTATCTCAAATAGAAAAGAACTTTGTGATAAAAACCACTGTGGTTTGTTAAGATGAATTCACAGCCTGTCTTCAGTTGGTCCAGGCACCATGGTTATGGAGGAAGCCAGAAAATGACCAAGAAATCTTGGAGATGTATTCTTGTGGCAAGATTCTGTATAAACTACACATATTTTAAATTCCTTGATGATAAGTACAGAAAAAAAGACCACAGCTTTATTATTTTTTCATCTGGCCTGTTTTATAAAGGCCACAGAAAACAGCACTTAACTGTTGCCACCCTTCAGGCACAGATGGGGTGAAGGAGCTATTTAATGTATTCTCGGCAATTGGTGATATATTTGGGCTGCACCTCATTCATCAGTGGCTGAGGTTTAGATTTGTGATGTTCAGACTGCTAGACATTAAAAAAGCAGAAAGCCAAAAGTAAATAAAAACATGCATTAAATGGCCTCCAGCATTTTCTGAAGGGGAAGGGAGGGAATGCAGGAAGGGAACTGTAAGAAAGGAGGTAGCTTGTGCTTCTTCTTAACCATAATAATGGAACTGAGAAGGAGATTTGGCCTCATGAACATAAACATAGACACGTTAAAATTAAGAGAGGAGCTGCTCTGTATTTTAGGCAAAGCTTATGTACCAATACAATTATGGAGACTGCAATAATAGCCATATCACTAAATTAACAACACCACACAGCACAGTGCAAAAATGAAAATATTAAACTACTATTTATAACTCAGATACCAAGTTATTTCAGATATGGAAACAACTATGCCACTAGGATCAGGATGCTTTTATATTGCTTTGCTGACTCAGTCTAGAGTTTTATTTTCTGGCTTCTCATGAAAAATAAGTGCCCAGAATACTCTGGCAAGTCTACTCCACCTCTTACAGCAGACAACAGGCTATATATCACAACATTCTAAAAAAAAAAAAAAAAAAAAAAAAAAAAAAAAAAAAAAGAAAGAAAGAAATAGGAAGACTGTCTTTTTATTGTCTTTTTATCATCTTATCCTGCTAAATGCAAGGTTTGCCTTAATGTAAGAGAGTTGCAAAACTGGGATTATCTGTACTTCCCTAGATAGTAAAAATCCAGGCTGTCAAGTGACCTATCAACCCCATAGCTATAAGGGCACATCAATAACTCAAAAAGTCCTCAAGTCCTCCACTTTTAAAGTTGTGAGCCAAGAAAGGTGGCAAAAAGAAATTATTTCTTCATACACTTCAGCTCCTGTGCCTGTGATCTGATCTTTACCCAATATGGCAGGACTGCAGAAGATTTCAAAGGCTTGTACAAAAAGAAGATTTAATTTCTTTAAATGTAATAGGAATAATGCAGCTCCTCTGACTCAGAATGACTTTTTTTGAAACTTACGTAAATGGATGGAAGAAGAAAAAACGTAAAAACAGAGAAGTAATGTTTCCCTTTCAGTAAAACTAACTGATAAGTAAGACTTTTTGGTCTTTTGTGAAAAAATGTTGGCAAGAATGACCATATATTACCCTTCCATAACCAAGCTCTAAGACCACAGGCCCTTGAAAACTCCCCTTCATCTGCCAAATATGGCAACTGAAGTAGAAGAGAAACTACCCTAAGTTAATGGCACCAATGTGCTGCCTACTGCTGTATGAATGGTGCCTCTGCAAAAAGTGGTGCTTATCCTTCTATATTGAAACTATTTCTCTCTGGCAACGTGGGCCTCATTGTACTAAGGAGGCTGTTGTTCAACTGCCTAAAGACAAACTGTGGATTACATGCAACTCAAATGTTTAAGAAGCAAAAAAAGAACAATAAGCAACTGGATTAATAGTGAACAGATCACAACAGAAGAAACAGATTACCATTTAATGAGAACAATGATAGATGTTCTTTGGAGTATATTTCTTGGAATTCAGTGAAAAGAACATCAAACAAATGCATCTTCTATAAGATACTAATGCTATCATCTATAAATTCTATTAATCCTTCCTCACCTGCTTGCTCAGGTTGAGTCTTTCAGGTTTACTTACTGTATTGGCTGGCTGACAAAGGCATTTTTGTGGAGTCTATATGCTACATAGCTTGGGAAAGAGCCTGATTCCAGTGATACGCCTTGTACAGAAGCAAAATGCTTCTCTGTCAGATTATATGATTCCAGCATCTTGAAACCTTTAAATCCAGACAGAAAATAAAAACTAAGAACACTGTAAAACTGTAAAAGACACAAACGAACCTACACCAAAATATTAGACAGTAACTTACCAGGTGAAGTGTATCCCTCCAAGTAAATAAGAGGACAAGCTAGAAGACATGAAACAATATATAATTCAAAACTATATAAACTAACAGGATGTGAACATATATATACTTCAGAAAGTTTTATTACCAAGAAGTCTGTGCTATTATTAATTATCAGCCAACTTCTGTTACATTTGTCATACTGTGTTCTGCTCTGTGGTAGATGTACTGTTAAAATCTCTACTCGTTACCTTTAGTAGGATTTCTCTATTGTGACAAATTGTATGGAATAACAAATGAACCCCCCAAATATTTTAAGAGTCTAATTCCTAAGAAGAAAGGAGCACAATGACACAGTCTTTCCATGAATATTTAAGGCATGAGTCAGGCTGCATAATAGCTGTCAGATTCACAAGGAAAAACTGCAGATTTACATAGCTTCACAGGAGCCAACGGATGAGGCAGTTAGGGAGTACACAGTTGCACATGACAGGCATGAGAATTCCTCATTTTTGCCATAGAAGGATTTCACTTGAGTAAACAACTGAACTTTATTTAGATAATTTCAAAATAGCATCACACACTGTAGCTGCAACTCTTTAGCACCCCTAGATTAGTGGTAAATAAGAGACCTGTTGTCCCCCCCGGTTCACATTAGTCAACATTCTACTTCTTAAAGAGCAGTAGTACTCACTGACTGTCACTCTCTTTTTGTTATACCAGCACTTTTGATATGTGAGATGTAAAATATAATACTTACCATAACATTTTTTAAAAGTAACTTGATCCCTTAAACTCTGTCCAGTTATTATAAAACCTAACTTTTATATATGAACATTTCTTTTGAGGTACCTTAGATAGGATGGCAACTTGTATGTGGCTTGCATGGCAAGGTTTTGGTAGCGGGGGGGCTGCAGGGGTGGCTTCTGTGAGAAGCTGCTAGAAGCTGCCCCTATGTCCAAAAGAGCCAACGCCAGCTGGCTCCAAGGCGGACGCACTGCTGGCCAAGGCTGAGCCCAAAAGCAACAGTGGTAGTGCCTCTGGGATGACGTATTTAAGAAGGGGAACAAAACTGCTGTGCAACAGCAGCTGGAAGAGAGGAGTGAGAATATGTGAGAGAAACAGCTCTGCAGACACCGAGCTCAGTGAAGAAGAAGGGGAAGGAGATGCTCCAGGCACCAGAGCAGAGATTCCCCTGCAGACCGTGGTGAAGACCATGGTGAGACAGGCTGTCGCCCTGCAGTCCATGGAGGTCCACGGTGGAGCAGACATCCACCTGCAGCCTATGGAGAACCCACACTGGAGTAGGTGGATGCTCAAAGGAGGCTGTGACCCTGTGGGAAGCCCACACTGGAGCAGGCTCCTGACAGGACCTATGGACCCATGGAGAGAGGAGGCCATGCTGGAGCAGGTTTGCTGACAACACTTGTGACCTCATGGGGGACCCACACTGCAGTCTGTTCCTGAAGGACTGCACCCTGTGGAAAGGACCCACGCTGGAACAGTTCGTGAAGAACTGCACCCTGTGCGAAGGACTTACATTGGAGAAGTTGATGTAGGACTGTCTCCCACGGGATGGACCCCATGAGGAGGAAGGAGCGGCAGAAACAACATGTGATGAACTGACCACAACCCCCGTTCCCTGTCCCTTGTGCTGCTGGCAGGGAGGAGGTAGGGAAAATTTGGAGAAAAGTTAAGCTCAGGAAGAAGGGAGGGGTGGGGTGAAGGTGTTTTAAGATTTTGTTTTTATTTCTCATTATCCATCTCTGGTTTGATTGGTAATAAATTGAATTAATTTCCCCAAGTTGAGTCTGTTTTGCCCGTGATGGTAATTGCTGAATGATCTCTCCCTGTCCATATCTCGACCCATGAGCCTTTCGTTATATTTCTCTTCTCTGTCCAGCTGAGGAGGGGGGGTGATAGAACAACTCTGGTGGGCACCTGGTGTCCAACCAGGGACAACCCACCACACAACTGTAGCAGTATATAAGTATATAAGCAAATGTATTATTTGGGGAAAAGGGAAAACAATGTCTTCTACTCACTTGAGGTAGCTGTCTCACACACAAAGGTGACGAGGTTATCTTGAATTTTTTCAAAGGCATCAAAGTCATCAACAATAAATACATGACGCTCACTGGGCTTGCTGGCAATCTTGGCCAGCTCATTGTAGTCTACATCAGCCACACCAACCACAAAGACACTGAAGCCTGTAAAAATAACACTTGTTACTTGAAATGTAGTAACATACATCACCATTTTTCAGGTCAGTATTTCACAAAACATCTCTATCATTGATTTCTCAGCCTCTACTTAGTCTTTTATCTGGCCTTCATCATGAGCATACATTCGGGATACCCTTTCACCCTATCAAAGCTGAGGAGGGATTAAACTGATTTTTGCATCTTTCTTTCAAAACTTTATCCTCCTTCATTCACTGTTTTTTGTTGAGCATTATCCAATCTCACACAGCCTGGGCTCTTTCATAGTCCCTTCACTCTTTCATAAAAAATGTACAATCCTCTCAGCTCTACAGTATCTTAAATCCATTCTGTGTCCAAAATCTCTGTGCAGACTACTAGATATTCAGCTCTCTATCTGTTGCCAGCTCCTGCATTTCATGCTTCTCAGTTTCTCTTTCACTTTCTTAGAGTGGTATTCATCTCACCAATTTTCACTTTCCAAGTTAGCAACAAGTCTAAGCTAGTTGTCCAGTCTTCCTCTATAATCAACAGACAGACATAGGCAGATTCAGAATGCAGTTTATCTCACCTCCAGAAGATGGTAACATCAAGATAGAAGAAGGCATGGTCTGCAGATGCCTATCTGTTGCTCTTTTCACTAGCATAAAAGGACCCTACATAACGACCTTAGACTAGACGTTTAGCTGTTAGATGGCTTAACTCAAATGAG